CGCATATGCATGTACCACTGTCAGATATGATTATTTAAAATGTGCAAACCTTGGCCCGTATATCAGATTAGTGAAGTGGTGTGTAGTAGTAGGATATTGTTAAATAGTATTCTAAGTGGAATACGATGCATGAATCGCTCGTACGCTCTCTCATATTTCGCACTACCGTATTCGCACTAAAGCCTGTCTCAAGAAGACCGTCCACACCGTGTAAAAATGAATAGAAATCTGTTTTCTCGGGCGGTGATGTAAACACAACATAACCTAGAACGCGCAGCCTCGAAACTAGCTAACAGGAGAGCAAAGGAGCGAATTATTATTGTTGCGCACGGGGATCACGGTGAAACTTTAAACTGGTCACATGTCAAGCCGCCGAGGGGGATACTGTTATTTACGCAGTTGTTACGTTCCGCCCACCAGTGAACAGGTTGATCCTGATCACGATAACGTAGTCAATTTTGAAATGCAAGGAAACTATTCGTGTCGTTTATCTCGTAATGCCGTGTCGCTACTTAGAAATGCATTTAACCTTGAATGTTAAGCACCGCGCGTCGCACGTACCCACCCATCTATGCATAATGAACACGTATATATCGTGTTTAGAGGATAAGTGGATAGAAGATCCTATCTGAATCAGTCATTGACCTTTATCGAGTTATATAGTTCTCTTTTGTTTCTATCAATAGAGAATTGTACATTTATCTATATTTATAGTTAATTCATTTTAATTTCAGGGATTGAACATTGAATTGAACATTGTGACATGTTATTGTGAAACACGCTCTCGTCCCAAAGATAACTCGGAACGTTCCAAAAATGGTCATTCCGAGCTCGGTAGCTTAATATAGGTTATGTACGCAATTACGCATCTCTTAACAATGCAGCATTGTTCATTGATAGTGTTTTGATTCGAAGGACCAGTGGAGATCCATACAACTGAAAAAACCGCCTTAAGTCGATTCGCCAAGTTGCGTGCAAACAGTAGCGCCACAGGTTATCGTTTCGCGACATTGTAGTTCGTCTACCTCGCTTAGTTGAACGTGAGACGTGACCATGCCGATGTAGACAGGCGTGCGCAAGTGTGTGCGTGTTACGTGCTCGTGTCCGTTTTAAACCTGACGGAAAAGAAAGAAAAAAAAATTGGTCGATCTTGCCGGAAAGATTCGTTAGCTGCTGGCCCCCGTGGATGATAACATTCTCACGCGCTGAATCGGGGAATCGCAAGGAATAACGATGAATAACCGCGGTGTACGTCTGACGCTTTTTCTGTCGGTTAATCTGTTGATTCTATTGGGCCACGTAGCCGGTTCCAAGGTGTTGCAAATTCGAGGGATACCTATCGCGAAAAGTTCGCTTTATCCGTCGGATCGTGACTTCCAGTGCCTTGACGGGAGCCTGATAATACCATTCTCTCATGTAAACGATAATTACTGTGACTGTGCCGATGGTAGTGACGAACCCGGCACACCTGCCTGTACGAATGGCTCGTTCTACTGCGAGAATTCCGGCCACAAGCCTCGCTACATACCATCCACCTGGGTGAACGACGGCGTTTGCGATTGCTGCGATACCAGTGACGAGTACAGCTCAGGTAAAGGATGCCCGAATAATTGCAACGAGCTTGGGAAGGAAGCCAGGTTGGAGCAGCAAAAGGCGGAGGAGCTGATAAGGGAGGGCAACAAGATAAGAATGGAAATGATTGCCAAAGGTAAACAATTGAAAACAGATTATCAGGCACGTTTAGTTAAATTGCGGGCAGAATACGAGGAAGCGAATCTTGTGAAGAAGGAGAAAGAATTGTTAAAGACTCAGGCAGAGGAACGAGAGAGCATGGCTTTGGAAAAATACAAGCAGGTTGAACCTACGGCGGAGGAAGGAGAAGAGGAGGAAGAGCTGCGTGAATCAGACGCTGAGGATTATTTCAAGTTGCTAGACTCCGACAACAGTGGTACTGTAACAATTTCAGAACTCCAGACTAGGGTGACGTTCGACAAAGACAGGGACGGAGCTGTGTCTGAAGAGGAGGCACTGTTCTTCTTGAACAATCAGAGGGAAGTTAATCTACAAGATTTCATGAATTCAGCATGGACAAACGTAAAGCCGTTTTTAATGCTGGAACAAGGTTGGCAGAAAGATTCCTTTATATTCCTATTTTCAACTGTGCGCTACATTGACATTGTCTTGTTTCAGGGATGTTTAAACCAGCAGATCAGAGGGAAGAGGGAGAAGACGAAGAAGAGGAAGATGTTCACGAGCCGATAAAAGAAAGATCCGAGCAAGAAAAGGAAGAAGATGGCGCAGAGGGAGAGGAACAGGCTGGCGACGAACAAAAGAAAACTGAGGAATCCCAAGTGCAATACGACGAGGAAACGCAAGCCTTCATCGACGAGGCAACGATTGCCCGTGAGAATTTCCAAACAGCAGAGAAATCTGTAAACGAACTGTTAACTGAAATTCGCAAGTTCGAAGAGAAATTGGACCGTGACTTTGGCGTCGACAACGAATTCGCGCCTCTGGACGGCGAATGTTTCGAGTATACGAATTTAGAGTACATCTACACTTTGTGCATGTTCTCGAAGACGACGCAAAGATCGAAATCCGGTGGCGGCGACATTAACCTTGGCCACTGGAACGATTGGAACGGGCCAGAGGGTCAGAAATATTCCAGGATGAAATACGACAATGGTCTCAGCTGTTGGAACGGACCTGCGCGTTCCACCGTTGTCAATCTAAATTGTGGCAGAGAGAACAAACTAGTTTCAGTGACGGAGCCTAGCCGATGCGAATACGCCATGGAATTTTCCACACCAGCTGTATGCAATCTCGCTCAGGACTCGGCCAATCTCGCTCACGACGAGTTATAAATTTCATATCGCATAAACGTGCAGGATTCAATACGCGATTGTACGACCTTGCAAACACAAGGCACACATATACAAAAATGGCAAGGACGAATGACGACCGCTCGATTCATATATTTATCAAGTCTGTTCTTTCTCGAACGTTCAACGTTATTACTCTTAACATAAGAAATTCGTAAATTTGCACAATATTTTTACTACATCGTGGGTAAACAACGCCGATAAGCTATATATATATAGTAAGACATCCTAGTCAATCCTCGCACGTTACGCATAACGATTTTTATCGAGCATCGAATCCGTGATCGGTTGTTCGCCCTTGCGTTAGAAACTTTTTGTCATTGTACTTGTACGCATAAACAAACGGAACCCGCAGTCGATAACGCGTTATCGACCGAGCTCGGTTTGCCTAAAAGGTAGAGAGACATTTTAATGTTCGCGAGATGAGTGAATGGGAAATCGTTGTTAAACACGGTCATTGCCAATATTGTGTCACTGTTATACATTCCTCCTTTTGTACGAGATGAATTTTTATGAACCGGTCCGAATAAAAAAACTGTTTCACTCGTTGTCGAGTCGTCGCACGGTCGTGCGATTACTTACTTACTTCCGTGGCCGATGTTCTCGCCCGGAGTAAAACAAATTGAACTCACTCTTACACGCATGCAAGAGTATTCGAAAAGAAAAAAGAATTTCCTAAATTGTCACGCGTAACGTAGAAAAACTGTTTAACCGTGTCCAGATATTTTGTAATTTTTTAAAGGTGCGTCCGTGTTCGGCGCATCGGAATGCGGGTTTAATAAAGAGGAAAAGAATTTTGTTGTCGAACTGTAATTACGATGGCAGCTTTATTTACATTAAAACGGGCGATTTTTACTCTTTCAATATTTTATATATATATATATATATATGTATATATGTATATATATATTTATATGTATTTATATATACTATAATGTATATACAAATATAAATATATATATATGTATACACATTATATATTATATACAGTATATATATACTTATATTCCTCTCAATTATGCGAATTCTTATATAACGATGGTTAATTCAATTCTCTATTTATGTTTCGTTAATCTAACAATCTACGCGTATCTTTTGGAGTTCTGAGACGTTCGCAATCAACTAGAAAACTAAAAAGGGAGGTGGTCAATAGAGAGAGAGAGAGAGAAAGAGTGTGTGAGGAAAGTGATAATCGTTTCTGCGCAATTTATCCCACGACGTCCGATTCCTCGGTTACATACTTCGTTAAGGCACTTAAAAGACTGGAAAGAGGTATCTTGTCTTTCACGCGGCTTTACCGTGACAAAGACGATACGATCTAACGTCTTTTCTTCACCCCACGATGATCCACTATTTCCCTTTCAACATATACACTGTGGAATTTACAACGTGCAATCTTCAATCTTCAGAATCGAAAAAAAAAAAAAAAAAAAAAAA